AGTTTTATCTGTCAATTTAAAAAATTTATCTCAAAATAGTATGACATAGAAACAATGGAAGTAATAAAAACATGATGGAAAATGGAAGTAATTTCAAAGTTCCACTGCAAAAGACCTCATTCTGTCACATCAATGAAATTTCAGTCTGGAAGATCCAGGATTAGAAGAGAATGGTTTTATGGTAAGAAAAGTCATTATCAGACCACTAAACAGAGGAGAAGTGGGCAGCAGCAGAAGAGAGGACTGTAGAAAAAGATGCAGGATTTTACCCCAATTTCAAGCAAGGGCCTAAATGCTTAGCTCTCTAATGAAACTTCTGGATTTTAATGGTTTGACCATAATTTTTTTTTCATCCTAAAAAACATAAACAAAATGTTATAAGCTAAGACAATGGAACTCAAAAAAAAAAAAATACTGTTCATTGCAATCTGGGTCAGTGATGTTCCGTTAAGTAGGAAATGGGTTAGGGTAATTTGTCAGCTTTAAAGAATTAATTTATCACTTTATATTTTTTTTAAAAAAAGGAATCAAACTCATTATTTGACATAAAAGAATTAATTTTTCATTTTAGTTAAAGAAAAAAATTAATTAAACTCATTATTTGACATTGGATAGGCCAAATTAGCAAAACATTGAATAATTTTTAAAAAGTTCTACTGGCTTAATTGGGGGTTACATGACTATAACCTAGCAGAGGAAAAAGCATTTTGCAAACATCAAGGATGACAATGAATGTAATTGAGGCTGGTTGATTATGAATAATGGCCATTTCCAGGTTCCCAAAGTAATCATCTTTAACTAAGGAAGATTTTAGTATCCTTAAAAAAAAAAATTAACTCAAGTGTGGGATATAGTTCAGTAGTAGTTAAGTGCTTGCCTCTCATGTGTGAGGCCCTGGGTTCAATCCCCAACATGGACTTAACTCAGCAGCTATTGTACAGTTCATTTGGAAGACTTCATGGCATTTTTGCTAGCCTGTGGGAAGACAGGAAGTTTGGATTGTTGAGTTTCAATCTTCTCCTTTCCTTCCAAGTCCTATCATACTCCTTCTACAGTCAGTCCTTTATCTCCTTTTCCATTTTGAAGAAAAAAATGAAAAATCAAAAAACAAACACAAAACCCCAACTACAGAGCCAATTCTTTGGGCTGGGCTAATCTCTCACCTTTGACCATTATTCCAATGGAAGTTCATTAGATGAACTCCTAGCTTCTCTTGAGAATAAATAACTAGTTTTTAAAACCAGCTACTAGGAATTAAAGCATTACTCAATCTCTGTGAATGGTTAGCTGGTAGAAGATTAGTATAATAGGCAGAAATGTTAGATTCTGTCACTAGACTGCAGTAATTGCTTTATGCCAGCCAGGAACACAAACACAACTGCTTCCTCTCAGATAAAATATACCAAGGACTACTTTTCACTGGCATTGTGGGGAGAGAGGCATTATTTAAAATGGGGATCACATATAACTTTGAGAAACAATGGCATTATTTGGGTAAGCAAAAATTGGTAGAATATTTATGGTTTTGATAACAAAATTAGTTTAATGGTATAGAACGACTATAGAATATATCATAATGGAGCATCATGATTATCTAGTACATATATCACTGGTAAATCATATTTGGAACACTATCTAATGGCAATAAAATAAAACTCTTATAATGTTTAATTATTCCAGTTTTGTCTAGAATCTCTTTTCCATTCTTGGGTATAGAAAGCTTGTTCCCTAGTCGTATTTTCAGAATTCCCTTTAATAATAATAAAAAGGGATTTGGTCATTGATTTTTTTTTTCTTGATTTAAACTTCAAAAGGACACTAGATTTTACTGTTTTTTTTTGTACCCTCTAATTTTCAAACTACATGTAGGAAAGTAATAACTGAATTATGTACAGAACACAAGTAAAATTCTACAGAGAAGCAGTTTTCTTTAAGAGTCTTAAATTGAATTAAAATTGTTGCCTATTCTGTTGGATACTGATATGGCCTCATAATTGACATAGTATCCCTAAACCAATTTTGATTTTCCACATTGATTCAAATACTCATTCACTTAGTTGAAAAGTCCATGTCTGCTCTAAAACCATTTAAAGTTCAGGCTTATTTCTTTAAAACTAATTTCTAGTCATTTAAAAAGTTTGCCCATTAATAATAAAAAAAACCAGAAGAGTTGAAATCATTGTCTGAAGAAGTTCTTATTCTCAACTGTATTCAGAACAAAACAAAGTAATATAACCTGGAATGATAAAAGCAAAGAGTAATTCAATAAAATCTAAGTGTCTTAGTTTGGGCTCTTTGGGTTGCAAGTAAAAGAATCATAAATACAAATGGGAATTAATTAAGGTGACTGAGTTAACCTTAATGTGAAACCTATGGATAAGAAGGGAAGCCAAGTGACGGAAAATCCATTTAGGTTTAAATCTTTGCCTCTCTACCCATCTTCATCATTTTTCTCTTCCTCCACAGACGAGCAAAGAATGTCTCCCATGAAATGACTTCTAGAAATTGACCAGCATCTCTGTCCAAAGAGAGAATCTAATTGTCTCAACTTGGATCATGTGACTATTTCTGGCCAGAAGGCAGAGTCTCCTAGTCTGGCTGCCAGTGTCCATTCCAGTGAAACGTGACATTCCCTGCCCTGGGATGAAAAGACATCAGAAAATACCTACTACAATATGACTTTTACCAACGTGTTCTAGACCTTCTTCCGTGAAACAAGTATTTATCTATCTCAAAAGTAAATATGATTAGTTCCTGGTACATCTGTCCAATTTGCTTCATATTTTATGCTCCAGCCACAAAGAATTGCCTGTAATTCCACCTCCCATCCTCTATTTACCACCCCATCCACCCCCACAATCAACTCATTTCATGCCTAAATTCCTGTGGTCTTATGTGCTTGTAATGTCCTCTTCCAATCTTCTTTACTACTTAGGAGCCATTCTCTATGTCATTGCTTCCAGGAGACCATCCTACGTTAGTCACTTCTTTATTTCATGCATCATAATGTCATACAAAGAATTCTGTATCTCCAGAGTTTGGGATTTACTCTCTAGTTCTTGCCATCTTTATAATCTCAGGCATGTAAACCTGAACTATTGGTGAGAGCTTTCGAATAGTCAAACAAATATACTCTAAAATAATTTCCTTTTAGCTAATAATTTACCCTGTAAACTTCAAAGAGGGGCTGCATCTGTAGCTCAAGTGGTAGAGTGCTTGCCTAGCAAGCGTGAGGCCCTGACTTTAATACCCAACACAGCAAATAATAGTAATAAAGTTAAAGGAGTGTGTCATAACCTGAAATGTATGGTCGGCCCAAAGCCCTTAGAAATGTTAACTCAAGAAAGTTCTAACAGTCATAGAAAGTTTTGATCAAACCCTTTCTTCCTCTGGCTGTCAGCTGGCCCTTGAGAAAGACCTGATGCCCTGATCAGTTTATTCTCCTTTTAAAACTTCTGCTGGGCTTGTCCTTTCCTCCTTTTAGATGTGATTTTAATCTAGCAAAGTAGTGGTGAGGGCATCAATTTATGAAACTTTTATTTTTCTGCATATGAACATTATTTTCCAAAGGCAATTTCATCCTGAGGCTCTGGAGACTTTGAATAACTTTAAACTACAAGGTTAGGCATTTCTTATATATTTGCCTTGATTTTCAGTCCTCATTTTTCCCCTTAGGGTTTTCTGTTTGTCTGTTTTGTTTTGTGTTTGGTGGTGGGGAATGGAATCCAGGGCTTCACACATGCTAGGCAAGCACTCTATCACTGAGCTACACCCCCAGCCCTTTTTTTTTTTTTACTCAGGTTCAATTCTCCACTCTCCTCCTAAATGAAATGGGCTGCTCTTTCTGTTTTTCCCTCCCTTTACACAAATCAGGTAAGAAAACGGTGGGTGATCTTAAAAGGAAATTTTGTGAATGGTTGACTTTTGCTAATCTCAGGTTTTGAGGAGAGAAGAGAAAAAGAGCATTCCCTCTAATAATAAGAGTTTTTATTTCTCTTCTAAATAAGTAAGCAACAGCAAAAGCCCCCCCCCAGACCGCCTTGGATACATTGGGGTCGGCGGCCCAGCGAGCCCAAATAAAATGAATTAGTATCCCAGGAAGGAGATCACTATGGAGCTGATATTGATCAGGGTCAGCCGGTGTGTTTGCCTGCGATTGTTTGGGGGGTGGTTAATTGAGTGCCAGTGTCGTCTCGCTGGCGCCGGTTGCTTTTGGATTTGCTAATTTTCGTTAAGTGTCTTTAGCCGGCTCCTCGTCCCCAGTCTACCCGGGAGAACCTAGCGGCTCCTACTGATCAACAGTCTGTCTGTCTGGGCTTTATTGATCACACAGGGCGGGCGGCTGGAGGCGGATGTGCAGAGGGGGAGGACGGGAGGGGGTTGAAAGCAGACCCCAGCACCCCGCCGMCTGTTTCCTGGCTCCCCACCGGACTCCCGCTCGGCCGCACGCGAGCAGGCGGGACTCGGCAGGGGCTCCTAGTCCGTTGGCAAGTCTGCCACGCCCGGGCATCGCCACTTGTCCCTAGAGCTCCGGAGACATATAGCATGGCCCAGGATGGGGCTGGGGGTAGGGGGAGTTAGTCCGAGGGTGGCCACGTGGGTCCCTTACTTTTTTCGGTTGGAACAAAAGAGAAACCACGTGTTGGGGGACGCTGCCTGGAGGCTGAGTTGTAAGGATACTGGAGGCTAAAGCCAGGCGGACCCAGTAGCTGGGCTCACCCAGCGCGGGCCAAGGTCACACCCGCTCAGGCCTCCGCCAGGGGGCGCGCGAGAGACAGCGACTACCGGACCCTCAGTCCCAGACACCGGCGCCGCTAGGAGCCTTAGGGCAGGTCCCCCCTCGCCAGCGTCTGGTCCACCCTCTCGGCTGCCCGAGGGATCGACCAGACCCCAGCGGCCAATCGGACGGCGCCTTCGCTGCCGGGGCGGGGCTTGGGGCGGGGCGGCGCCAGGCCGGCTCCCCTAGCCCGGCGCTATTTACGGTGCGGAGCCTGGCTGGCCCGGCCGATGTGGCGGGAGCTCTCCGCTGGTCTCCTCCGTGCGCTGTTTCGGAGCTCCCACCTTCTTCGCGGAGCGGCAGGTCTAGGGGGCACGAAGCCGGGGAAGCCCACGCTGGACTGCAGCGACGCCATCAACGAAAGTGCGTCGGCCGGGCAGACTGGGGCGTAGGAGTGAGGGGCACCGAGTCACATCGCAAAAACTTTTCTCGACTTCTCGGCGCGTCCTGCAGCCACGATCCATGCTGGGGCCGCCATCCGGTCCCTGGCCCCGCCACTGACGGCGTCTGGCGCTCGGGGAGGACCCATGTCCTGCGCTTTCCGGGGGTCGTAGGCTGCTGCTGCGCCGCGGCTCCGGGAGCCGGCGGGGGCGCCGCGGCTGAGGGAGACGTCAATGGATCGCCACTCCAGCTACATCTTCATCTGGCTGCAGCTCGAGCTCTGCGCCATGGCGGTACTGCTCACCAAAGGTGTGTGCCCGCCGGGCGGCCGTGGTCTGGCGCGCGGATCCTGGGGAGGGGCGCTGCGGACGCGCGGGAGCTGGGGACCGGGCTGCCGGGCTGCAGCCGCGGGGCTTTGAAGCCGGCTGCCAAGGCTTTGTTAGCGGCGRGCGAGTTCCCTCCCGCGCCGAGCCGCAGGTCGCGACAAGTTGCTGTGTTCTTAGAAGTTGTAGCGGTGGCCTCGCGGCCGCCCCCTCGACCCCGGGTCCGACGCCTTGAGGTGCAGTCAGAGCTCTCGGCGAGCTAGTCAGGTGTTGCGAAGCTTGTCGGTGAACTCCTGGACGCTGGCGGCCCGCTGGGGAGAGGGGCGGGAGGATCTGCTGCTGGCCGCCGTCCTCGTTGCCCTGCGCAGCGCGGGACTGACACGAGGAAAAGCAGACCCTAGCCCTAGCTGCACCATGCCCTTGTGTGTCTGCCTGTGTTTCTCAATGTCTGTCTCTTGAGTCTCTTTGCGTCTCTGCCCGTGTCTCTAAATGTGTCTTTGCGTGTTTCGAGTGTGTTCTAAGTGCGACTGTGTGCCTTTGCGTGTTTCTGAATGTGTCCGGGTGTCTCTTAATGCCCCCGTATCGCTGAGTGTATCTCTGTATCTGAGAGCCTCTCCGTGTCTTTGTTTCTGAATGTATGCATCTGCCTGTCTCTTGATGTCTCTGTGTCTTTGAGTGCGAGCGGCTTGGTGTGTCTGAGTGCCTAAGTTTCTGTGTGTTTGGGATCCAGCGTGTGTGGATTTCCCTGAGTGTAGGTGGGGTGTGTGTCTTGATGAGCGAGTGTGTGTTGCGTTGCTCCTCCCGAGAGGAGTAGATGCTGTCAGCGGTCCCATTCCCACTCACCTTCTATTTTGCAAACACTAGTGAAAAAAAAAAAAAAAAGACAGCAGGTCAACAACTTCTTAGCCCTGCAGGCTTTCATCTTTAGTTCCAAATGACCTTCCTAGATTTCAAGGTTCTTACCTCCCTGCCATATACTTTTTAACTACTGTTCTATGAACAGATTTTTTTTTTTTAAATAGGAAGCATTATCTAGCGTTTGCACCCCCCATTTTTCCTTAATTGCCATGTAGCAGGCATGAGGTTAAAGGATAAGCTGGCCCAGCAAGGATGATGTGCTACAGTATTTATTTATTTTGGAAGGAAGGGTGTAATTAACCCTAAATAACAGCCCTCTGCAGCTTGCAGAGGGGAGCCTCCTGGCCCTATCAAAGGCCGGCAGAACAGGGAGGGACTGAGGCTGACATGAAGTCACAGATACCGAAACTATGTGCCTGATAATGATATAATTAGGGGATCAGAGATTTCTGACTGCTGTGGACTTCAAAAGCTTTAAAAAAAAGCCAGCAGTCTCTCCTGTAGCCATCTTGACTAAAGCAGACATTTTTGTTTAATCACTACATACAGTAACTAGAAAAGGGGAAACAGAAGAGCATTGTTCACTGTTTCAAAATACCAGTCCCCTCCTGGCCTTTTGCATGCCACAGGAAGAAACTTTATGAAACGACAGAAATATAGTTTTAATACAGTAGTACAAAAGTCCATTCTCTTCCCCAAAATGTGGCTCCTTTTTTATTTTTTTGGTTAATGTCTTAGAACTTTCCCAGTTACCTGTCAATTTTTTATTAGACTGTTTTAGGTCACTGAAAATACAGTATTTTAAATAGACTCTCATAAACATTTAAGCAATATTTTACTTGTATTCAGTTTTCCTATTCTGTACCAAGTCTGAGCCTGATAGGTTCAAAATGAATGTTAGATCCAACTTATTTATACTTCAAATTTGTATGTGAAATTTATCAGTCTAGGGATGCGTAGTCATCACCACCTTAGACTGGTTGAGGTTTATGTGAAGAATAAAGCACCCTGGAAAGAGCAGAAAAGAACTGCTGCAGAGCAAGGTCCTTACTTGAAGCAAAGGAGACTGGAGAAGGGACTTGGGCCCAAACCCAGGATGGCTAGTGCAGAGTTAGGAGCAAGACCTCAGTTTTGTACTGTTAGTAGGTTGCCAAAGATCTGTGTTTAGTTGGATGTTTTTTCTTAGAGCTGAAGCATTAGCAGCCTCTAGTGAAAACTGAGCACACCATGTGGTGGCCTGGAATTTGGACAGATAATTATATGAGACACCTTACTCAGGCATTCACAGAAAAAGGAGGAGGAAGAAGAAAAATGAGTGGGGGAAGTCTGTAAACCTGCAGCCCCCAGCATTTAATTTCAGAGTGGAGGTTTCAGTAACTAAACAAATCTTCTGATTGGGAAACTGGAAAGAGGTGTGTGCATTAGTTCAGTTTAGAGTAGCCTTCACTGTGGCCTGTTAACAATGACCAGAGTCCACCAGGTTGAGTATCACAGTGACAATTTCAGACCCAGATTATTTCAACTAGACATCCACATTCAAACCTCAAACCTTGCATTGTTACCAAATGTTAACAGAGCCTTGCAACTCACAAAATAAGTTTTATAAAGGAAACTTTTAATCACTTCCTGTAGAAAAATTTGAGGTTTCCTTAGGATTTTTCATTCAACTAGCAGAGGATTTTCAGTTTCAGTGTTTCCCCTTTTAGATCACATGTTAAATTACATGTAAAACTGAGGAGGAGGAGAAGTCAGCCTTTGCAGTTTTATGTCCCCCCCCCACCCCCACCCCTTTTATGACTTTCCATTTGGGCTGAAAGAAATTGACTTTGGCAAGCAAACCACTAATTGTAAACTGCCTAGTTCCTGTTTTACAATATACTGACTAAAAGCTCCTCGGCATGAAAAGATCTTTATAGGCAAAGTTTGCCTTTTCTAGAGAGGTTGCAAATAGCTGCCCAGTTTCATAGTTTTAAAACCTCCTGACCTGGGCAATTTCTAGATTGTTGTGTTTCTAGTTAATAACTTTATAAGGTGTTAGCTCCAGCTCTTAAATCTTGGCACAGTCCTTTGGGATAGTAAACAATTCAGTAGTTCCTCCAATCAAATATTTATACTGACAAAACTCAAAAAGCTTAGCATTTTTATGTTGTATAATTGTGTTAGGAGTATAATCAATGTGATTTTCCTTATGGTAGGAAAAAATATAATGATGACTTTTCCTTCAGAAACAAGTAGTTTTAATTACTCTAACTCATCAGAAATCTGCTACTAGGGTTAATACATTTAAGCACTTATGCTTAAAGGTGTTTCCAGTCCCAATCTATTGAAAGCAGTCAGTTTGAATGATCTAAAATTAGTGTCCTTGAACTTGGGATTCAGCAATTGCTTGCATAGTTGTTTTATCTGTTCCCTGAATTGAAGTTTGACTGGTTTCTCATTGTTTTCAGGAGAAATTCGATGCTACTGTGATGCTGCCCACTGTGTGGCAACTGGTTATATGTGTAAATCTGAGCTCAGCGCCTGCTTCTCTAGACTTCTGGATCCTCAGAACTCAAATTCCCCACTCACCCATGGCTGCCTGGACTCTCTTGCAAGCACAGCAGACATCTGCCAAGCCAAACAGGCCCAAAACCACTCTGGCACCACTATGCCCACATTGGAATGTTGTCATGAAGACATGTGCAATTACAGAGGGCTGCACGATGTTCTCTCTCCTCCCAAGGGTGAATCCTCAGGTAGGTAGAAGCCATTCCTAATCCTGCCTGATCTATAGACCTATGCCTGATCTATAGACTGTGTGGCAGCCACGACTTTGTGTGTCTGCTATTGATTGTGTTGTTAATGTAATTAGAGATACCAGAGGGAGAAGCATGGCTGCATGCAAAGATGTATCTCTATTGAGTGGCTTTTGTCTGCCTGAGCATTATATGTCTGTCTATATAATAGGTTTTGCCTGTTTTTAAACATTTTGAAGACATCAAAAGACCATTAYATTTCAGTGATGACAAGCCTGTAAATAAATGCCGTTTGTAAGCTTCTTTGGATAGTTTTGCAATATTTATTTCTAAAAAAAGCTGTTGATATAATTGTAAGCTGCTTTTTAATGGGATTCCTTGTTTATAAAGTGGATATCTCTAAAAGGAGTTAGTCCACGGTTTGATCATTTTGTTTGTACTCCTTTAGGACAAGGAAACAGATATCAGCACGATGGTAGCAGAAACCTCATCACCAAGGTGCAGGAGCTGACCTCTTCCAAAGAATTGTGGTTCCGGGCAGCAGTGATCGCCGTTCCCATTGCTGGTGGGCTGATCTTAGTGTTGCTGATTATGTTGGCCTTGAGGATGCTCCGAAGTGAGAACAAGAGACTGCAGGATCAGCGGCAGCAGATGCTCTCTCGTTTGCACTACAGCTTTCATGGACACCATTCCAAAAAGGGCCAGGTTGCAAAGTTAGACTTGGAATGCATGGTGCCTGTCAGCGGGCACGAGAACTGCTGTCTGACCTGTGATAAAATGAGACAAGCAGACCTCAGCAACGATAAAATCCTCTCTCTCGTTCACTGGGGCATGTACAGTGGTCATGGGAAGCTGGAATTTGTATGACAGAGTCTTATCTGAACTAAACTTCTTGAACCCTTGAAGGTCTTCGAGTTCTGCTGGACAGGAGCACTTTATCTGGAGACAAACAAAGTCATTTAATCATTTTTGAGAGACAAACTGACCTCTGCAAACAGAATCTTGGATATTTCTTCTGAAGGATTATTTGCACAGACTTGAATACAGTCAAATGTATTATTTGCTTTAAAATTATAAGAAGCAAAGAGAAGACTATGTACACACTGTTACCAGGGTTATCTGCATCCAAGGGAGCTAGAATTGAGTACCTAAATAAACTAAATGTGCTCTATGTAAGCTCCTACATCTTGATTTATTGTAAAGATTTTTAAAATATATATATTTTTTGTCTGAAACTTAGTGGTGTCTTTCATAAATTAAAAAGTTAAAGTGGTGGGGCTAGGGATGTTGCTCAGTGGTAGAGTGCTTGCTTAGCATGTGTGAGGCTCTGAGTTTGATGTCCAGGACCACAAAAAAGAAAAACAACTTTAATCAAACTATAAGAGTACCTGTTAATTACACAAATGACGAGCTATTGTTGCTCGTACTTCATTATCAACTACATAATTTGGCTAGATTTTCTTTTTGTTTTAATAATGAGACCAAGATCTTGTTTATTCTCGAACAAACATGCAATTTTCTTACAGCATGGAGTTTCTTAAGTATATATTGACCATCATTCAGTATCTTACCTACTTTTCTTTTAAAGGATAATTCTGGTAAGATTTTTTTTTTCTTTTTTTCTTTTGGTACTAAGGACTAAGTCCAGGCCTTGTGCATACTGAGCATACATACACTCTACCACTGAGCTACACCCCCATCCATCCCTGAGAGAATTCTTAAAACTTATTTATACAAGGTCAGCTGATTGATGGTTTTCTGAAGTTGCCATAGCAAAGGTAATATTAATCAGCTTGATTCAGTTCTGGGATACCTTTATAAATGTGTCCACCTATACCCTAACTAAACATATTTTTTGGTAATTAAAGTTAACCACTGTCTAGTTTTACAACAGATTGACTATTCTGCCTCAAACCAAATTCAATAACTAAATATTTTGTCTCCCAAGTTAGCCAGATTTTATTGTACAGTGCTCCTGGTTTTCAAAATTTTTTTAGTAGTCAGTTGATTCTTTTTAACTTATTTTAATCCTTAGAAAGGTTTTCAATAGTAAACATATGCCAATTGAGAATTAACACAGTGCTATTAGATTTCTATCCCCTCAATAATCCTTTTAATATAATCAAATAAAACATAGGCATTAGCCTGTATTTGATGCAGCTAAGTAACACTTGCCGCCTCCTATAAGACATTTGGTAACAGCCCAGCCTGAATTTAAACCTATACTATATTTGTGTACTTTTCCCTCAAATGAATCTTGGTTATCTCAGACATGAGAATAATATGCCATGGAGGTTTTTTTCTCAATTCTTTTGTATATTTGAGATTTTTTTGCTTCAAAATAGATGATAGCCTGCATAATTTGAGGATGAGGTTTTCTTATATTAATATTAAAAGCATTTTTGCATACTTTTATTAGATTATTTTATGATAAGCATAATTTGGGTTCCTTAAGACAGGTTCAGTAGTCAAGTTCATGAAAGAATCTGAGTTGAAATGACTAGTATAAAAATGAGTAGATTATTTTGACAATTAATAGATCACTGCCCCAAACAAATTAGGCTATGGAATAAATACACATTTTAATAAATGACAGCATTTGTATTGTGCTTTTTGAGATTGATGCTTCTTACATGCTTATCTTGTTATTTATAAAAGGTATTGTTCTGTTTGTGTCAATTAAAAAAAATTTTTTTTTAATTTGGTGTTGGGAATTGAACCCATGGCCTTGTGCATGCTAAGCATGTGCTCTGCTGTCCAGCAGCTCTGCTACCTAGCTACACTCCCAGCTTCCATAAATGTGTCGGTTTTTTTTAGGAAAAAAGGAATCATTGAACTCAAGCATTCAAACCTGACTATGGGAAAACTGATCAAAATTGTTGGTGAAATTTTTAATCCTTATCTCCACTGTCTGGCTCTTGATCAAAGTATAGTAGTTTTGTTGCTTGAATATGGAGACTTCTTACCCCTCAAACATTCTTTTTTGAACAGGATCATTCAAAGTCAGTAATGGTTTAGCCATTATCAGCTATGTGTAGTCAGATTTTCAAATTTTCTTCCTGTTTCACCTGATTTCTTCCAAGTACCAGTTAACTAGGAACTCCGCAAATTATTAGGAAATAAAGGACTTAAAGTTATATATGTTTTCAAATCTGTAAGTCTCATCCTACTGGAAAAGCTTGAGTCTGGGCTGGTATGAATTTAATGGAAGATAAATGTAAAGAGGTTCCCAATGCCTCTCATTCTGTTGTGCACTCAGGAGGCTGTCCTTTGGCGGCCCCTGACCTCTCATTACTTATTTCTGGGACTCGGGTTCTAGCCTCAATTGACCAGCCCTGTCTCTTCCTAAATCCTCACCCTTTTGATATTTACTATTTATATTTGTCTTTGCCACTAGCAGATCTGCACATAACTTAGGCTTTCAGTAAAAATGTTGCAGGCTGACTTTTATTAAGAACTGTATAAAGACTTGACATTTTCTCTCCTATGAGAGTATAGTAAACTTTTTACAAGCAGGAGATAGATTCCTTACCTGATTGAATGATTTAAGAAAGGTGACAATTGAGTTTTTTTCCCCCCCTCTAAAAGATGTATGCTGTCACTTAGAGGTGTCAATACAAGGCTTCCTAACCCAAAACAGCCCTTATTTAATACTGACATCGAAATTCCCTCAAAATTAATTTTCCTTTTTTAAGTGGAAATTTGCCCAAACCAAAGGCAAATGGGACAAAAAAATGCCATGATGTTTCTGCATCTATACCTCTAACATTCTGCCCGATTTTGAAAAACTTGACGTGTGCATGGTTAATGTCTTATGCTATTCCTCTCACTGCACCCGCTCCACAAACTTACTTTGAATGGCTCAGAGGCTTCCTAGAAATTGACTGGTGTCTCTAATTTCTGTTGAACTGATTTTATTAAAAACACTGCACCATAGGGGGGTTGACCTTCTAAAATACCAAACATGTCTGCTTTAGAAAATCACAAAGCTCTCCTCTGAAGGGCTGATAAATCTGGTTTCAATATGGGTTGATTATAGGCTAAAAGCTTAAAAGCAGTGGCATCTAGTATCATGAATCTAAAGCTGGCCTTTTGGGGGCCAGGATAGCTTTTTTTTTTTTTCTTTTCTTTATAACCTCTAATTGGTCCTCTTCTCTGCCACTTAGCCTAAATAACTTTGAAACCTCCAAAGCCGTGTGAATTTAGGCAAATTATGTAAGCACTCTGAATGCTCAGTTTTGTTGCCTGTAAAATGGGGGCAGTAATAAAACTGACAGGATTTTATTGTGAGAACATTTTTTGCTCGAGGACCTAGGTTCAATTTCTAGCACCAAACAAAGAAGAAAGAAGAGTAAAAAGACTATCTTGTAGCTATTCTTGCTAGTATATACTAGAATGATGAGCTGGGGATGCAGCTCAGGGTGAGAGCACTTGCCTAGCATGTGGGGGGCTCTGGTTTGATCCCCAGCATGGGATTGGAGGTGGTAGTGAGGTGGGGGTAGAATATAGGAGGGTGTTTCTTTAAAAAGAAAAGTTTTTGAGGTGAACTTAATGGCCCAAAACAGTAGTTCTTAAAGTTTGAGAACTTGTGCCCAACATTTGTAGTCATTGTTTGTATGTGACTTTTTAATATTTCTTTTTGTGTGTGTGTGTGGTGCTGAGGATTGAACCCAGGACCTTAGTGCATCTAAGGCAAGTACTCTACCAACTGAGCTATACCCCCAGCCCAACTTTTTATCATTTCAAATCTTTAGATATTTGAGATTTCCAGGTTCTCAATCACTAGCAGACAAGTTTAGCCTTTTTTAATGGTTTTCTTCAATTTACTGCCTTCATATAGGCTTTTCTCCCATCCGCTGGCTTGAAACTGTTTCCCATTGGAATCTAGACAGCTCCCAGTGAGAATATTCTAATGTTTTGTACATATTAGTGTTTTGGTATTTGACAGATGATGTTCTTTCAGTTTCAGCTGTGCTAGGAGAGCATCCATGGAGAGGATCAAGAGCCCATAGGTGACAGATGGTGTTTCAATAGTGCCAGGATAGCTTGTGTCTGATTGATGCATACTGAACATCATAACACTATCATAATGTGCCCCACTGGTGCTCCCAACAAAATACAAATAGTTCCACTGGTATTGGGAAACTTGTGATTTTTTTTTTTCTCCCCAGGGACAAGTTAGTGAAGGATCATTTAATTTCTCTAGGTGGAGTTAATTTAGTTTGTTACCCTGTGGAAAATTTAACTGCTCCAGATACCAACTTGTCCTCTTTCCCTCTACTCAATCTATTCTGTCAATGCTGTTTTCAACCTGCTGACTTAAAAAGGCAGATCCTTGATCAGAGACTTCACGATCTCATGAAATAATGAAATTAAATCATCTTCCAAATTTGGATATCTCTTTCTTTGGGGTGCAGTTTCCACTCTAACTCCCTTGTTAATCTGTGAACATGGCAGTTCTGCAGCATGGTGGCTTCATTCACTTGTCTGTCATTCCAAAAATTTGGAGATAGAATTTGGAAAGGAGTAGAACAGAGTTGAACCAGATAGGGGTTTACCTCCTGCAGCCAGGCAGCAATTTTTCAATGGATCTGCTTTTTAGGGTGGGAAAGTATTTATTGCTATGGGAAGCCTATCAGCAAACTGAGGCAAACTTTTCCCATTGGAGGAATATGAAAAGGGCAACAGGAAATGCTGATAAGCAGTCCTGGGAGATACTTTGCTATCACAAGGTATTTGTCATTCCTCCTGACTTATTTCAAATTGTGATGAGCTACCTATTAGAGATTTGTTCTTCTTCTTTTTTTTTTTTTTTTTTGTGGTATTGGGGATGAAACCCAGGACCACACACATTGTAGATATAACATTGTATCCCTGAGCCATGTTTCTGGCCTGTTAGAGGCTTATTTTTAACTCCTTGGAAGAATACTATCTGATATAAAGCTTGGACATCTTGAAACATTCAAATGAAAGCTCAACAGAAGTTAACAATACATTTCTGGGTGAGAATTAGTTTCTTTAGGTCAGTTTGGAGATCATACCAAATTTAAAATGTAGACTGAGCAGTGATTAGATTGTTGTGATTAGATTGTTGAACTAAGTCTGAATAGAACTGAGGACAGATTGGCCTGGCAGATAATGGGTGCCATCTATAAATGTCATGCTGATTAAATAGGCTTTGTAATCCTGGAATAATTTTACATTTAACAATTTTCCAACAGTGTAGAAGTAACTG